GTCGAGGCGAACATCGCCCACGAATGGATTGTAAGCCTTTGCGAATATAGTTGGCAGTGACAGAACGTTTATGCCCTAAACTAAAAAAACATTTATTTAATCACCTCTTCCACGTCCAATAGAAATCGCGTACTTTATAAGGATTTTTCTCACGTTCGAAAGTTGATATGAATTGCCTCAAGCGATAATCAAAGCATAGGGAGATAAAGCAAAAGTTACAAACTCTATTGTATTCCTTTCTCTTTAATTTATTAAGTAATACGGATAAAGCTTCAAAACCAACTTTCATACAACTTTTGCACGAGTCTTACCAACTCGGATTATTTTCAATGAAATTTGCTTTGCTTTACATATTAACCATCTGCCATTTATAGTTGAGGTGTCACGCATTTTGATGTATGCAAATGGTGCAAAATTTATCTTCTCTTTCAACGATGAACACTACTCCTTTTGTCTACATTCAGATTGGCTTCATGGTCGTCAACTAAGTTCCTAACATTGCGTTTAAATAAATGCAAAAAACTATCAATTTAAACCTAAACTCATAGTTAGTTGTATGTCGTCGCGATATATGCATAGGCATGAGTCGTTTCACGCAAGTAAGTCGTGTTTATACATATTTTCCATATCAATATCCGCTCTAAAGGATAATTTCTTAAGGTAAAAAGCGGAATTTGATTCAAACAGTCAAAACAAAGGGAGAAAAAATATGAAAGACTAATGAATAATGGAATATGAAGTAAAGGGAGAAAGCAGAAAAAAGTTGACCTTTCAAAAATCGCCCAATGTACAAGAGTTGAATTAAAGATGAGAGTATTGTAAATGACGACTTAATTTGTAAACTAAGTAACTCAGTTTTCTTTTGTATTTCTTGCTTTGCTCTATGCATCATAAATCACATCAAAAAGCTGCCTAACAATAGTTTGTCTACATTTTCTCCCATGTTTTTACTTGTGTTCTCCATACTTCGTTAAATATTAATAATGGCGGCCATATATCATATTACTCAAGATTCGGAGAAGGAAAATCCTCGCAATAAAGCAATGAAGGAAAAATTAGTGACCACGAATAAGACACACGTACTACAGCCTTTGGGTGCCAGTGCTCTAGGAGGTCCTTTTAAAGACCAATCCAACAAGCAAGGGCGAGCTAATTTCTCCTTGCTCAGTAATAATCCCAACGCTCGCGTAATTATCAGCCATAGTAACAATAACGCT